TAAATATTATGTCATATTTGCTTAATAGTACGAATGAAACAGAGTGACTCTATTCGACGCTTGGAGAAAGTGTGCATGCAATGATGCAGAATTTCCACTTTCGAAGATTGTATTGATTTAATACGTAGGTAACAAATGGATTTTGCTAAATCAATGGAGCAAAACTATTCGGAAGCCTTTATTGAATACCAAAAGCATATGATGCCATCGTTTTGTTCATTCTCAAGTCATTGTTGATGTTCATCATGGGTAAGAAAAAGATTTTCTGAACCATTAGCTCCTAAGTATAGCTCCCGAGCTTCGACATTCTATTTGTATACAACTACTGAATTTTAGAACTCATTACAGGATTGATTATGTCATTTCTGTTTTCCCTCGAAATAGTTTCATTCCGTCATCACTGCTACCATTCCTCTAGAGTTTTAGCGCATAAATTTCAGCTGACAGTTTTAACTTTAACGGTTTTCTGTAGTCAATGCTCGACGTTATCACGAGTTTATTAACTTTATGTCATTGCCTGATACGTGAGTTCAAAAAAGGTTATGATGTAAATGTTTCTTTCAGACATTTTGACCGCATATTGAAATCATTGTGATTTTCTCCATTTACATGACATAAGCTGAAAATCAAGGCACTGTGGATGATTTTCCAGTTTGGAAGTTTGTCGAGTCTCGTCCAACCAGTAATTCTTCGAAGAAGCATCATTTGTACCATTTGTTTTAGAGGTCACATCTATTCGATCAATATCCGCCATTAATAGCTAAGGGTGCGAACTACATGAGCTTGATGATAATAGCTTCGGCTAAGGATCATCTCCCTGTTCGTCACCCTGTACCAACTGAGCTCTGTATTACTGGCTTCATTTGCCTACGCCGGACTGGTAGAGAAACATCTTCTTCTTATTGTGTGTTTTTTTCGTTCATGCTACTATTGTTAAGCTAGACTCGTCCGAATGCCCAGTATCATTCTGAACAGACTCTCTTAAGAATACGAAAGCCTCAATTTTATCGCAGCTGTTTCTCATTTGAACCTCATTGTCTGCCGCAGCGAAACCACTGAGTGCATATCAAAATTCATCATGGGAAAAAATAATCATGACAGAGAAATACTATCGGTGAAACGGTTATCACTTAGGCAGAAAATTTCGTAATTGGGCCGTGTCGGCTGATAAAAACCATTATGATTATAAACGGAAGAAACGGTAACACACGCATATGACAAAATAAGCGCTCATCTGAAGAACATCACTTCTTGTAGTCAACTTTGGTACAGACCTCTGAGTAGATGCACAGAGGTAGGATGAACTACGTAGGTGATTATACGTTTCATAGCTCTGCAACATTTCTAATAGCTTCGGCTGTGGCATCAGCAATTACGACAGCGTGGTACTCTGTTGAGATAATCGTCGAGGATACAAGAATTACGACCACGCTGTCTAATGCAAGCGTCTTACTGTCAAGTGTTAATTTCGACTCATCAGAATAAATCAACGGAACGTATAAATCATAAGAAACAATAAACAAAAGCTATAAAAAATTGTAATCTATCATATTCTCTGTCATTCGTTATTATACATAGAACCAAACACATAATACTAAGGTTTGATTGGGTATTGCCAAGCTTCAGTTGACATAAAGCGACTAAGAAACTTTCATTCACCATGTGATGCGGTTAGAAAAATTGTTCCGCCACTTTATACAAATGCGTCAGGAGTCTCTTGCCGACGTGCAGCCTTAGGATGCTCATTGGATCACAATATTTCTTTTGAATAAGATGTCTTTCGCTTTATAATTTATTAAGGAATGTTCTTTAATTTGCATTTTTTTACGGTACGGGTTGATGTAGACCGTTTTGGCTTCCACGTGTTTGCTCACGTCGTCGCCGCCGAGAGCGCCCCAATCCGTTGCATACATTACAGACTGGAAGTGGTTAATCTCCCCAGTATCTATTGACCTCTGAATATTAACGAACTGGCTTCACTGAATAATAGTTTACTGCCCTTGATTGCTGCATATACGATATATGATACGAATGATTAGAAGTACCCAGAGGCGCAAAACCCCTAATGTCAGAGCAATTGAGATTTTTACCCTTGCGCAATTCAGTTGGGCGTCAATCCCTGTGGAAAATCAAAAGAAGTCAGTAAGATCAAGATCCGCTAGGAGGTTCAAGTTGTGCAGGTTAACGTCGATCAGGAAAACCGTTGAAACCGGGGCTAACGCTGTCACCATGTTCCTTCACAGTAGAACTAATAACTGGGCGTTTGGAGCACGGGGTTATGTGTAGATTAATGACAAGA